AGTGGGGCTGCCGGAGGGGCCCCGGCGAGGACAGGGGATTGTTGGACTTTGGGTTGGGGCTGCACTGACCTGCCTCGGGAGTGTGTGGGGGTCTGGGGCACGGGGCTTTGGAGCCTCTGGGTCTGGGGCGGGTCTGCGCGCTGGGGGGGCTGGGCCCCCCTGGGCCCGTCCTGGGGATGGGCGGGGTTGTCGCTGACTCTGGGGTGCTGCCGGTGCTAGAGGGGCTCTTGCTATAAGCCCTGGGCTGGAGGGACCTGGCATCCTCCTGCTTAGGGGGGTGGGGGACGGGACTGAATAAATGATGGGGCCAGTCAGGAATCTGGTCTTCTAGCCTCCCTATGACCTCCTTCACCTTTCCCCCTTTGGTCATGTCTCACAACATACACCCTTAGGATCCTGGGGGGCGGGCAGCCTGCAGGGCGTTTGGGGGGTGGGGCTGCTTTATTGCGGCCTCGCACTTCTTCCTCCCTCACTGCCTGCCCCTCAATTTTAATTACACATTAGACACAGAGGGCTTGGGGGGTGGGAGGGGCACGATGGGAGGCTCCACTACCTGACAGTTGTGGGGTGCCTGTGTCACAACTACCCTCCAATTTTAGTTGCACCTTAGTTACCACACACATTATCTTTACTCCACCATACAACACTTCACAATCCATGACATGCATCCAACACAAAACAATACATTTACAGAGGCAGGCAGAGGGGTTGAAGGAGTGGGAGAGATTCTCATTGGCCTCGTGTCCTACCCCTGGAGCCCCGGGCGTTGGGGGTGCTGTGGGGTTGGTGACGGCCTTGCCTGATCTGGGGTGGGCTGGTGGGGGGTCGGGGCTCCCCTGACGTGGGGGCCCGCCCTTGGCCTAGGGTTCTGCGGACTCGGGCTTGTGGCCTTTGCTCATTTCTGGGCGGGTGGTGTGTCCCTGGGCCTGGGGGCCCGTTGTCTCCTCTCCTCGCCTGGGCCCTCTTCGGCAGAGGTGAGGCTCCCGCTGCTTCCCCCTGCCAGCTCTCTCACGGTGGGGGCATTCGGGAGTCTCTGGGGCGCATGACTGGTGTTGTCGGGGTAGGTTTTGGTGCTCCTCCTTGGGGGTGCTTGACTGGGGGGGCTGGGCCCCTGTCCAGGGATGAGATCAGCCTTGGGGGCTGCTGTCACTGCCTGCACTGTAGGGAGGGATGCCTCTGGCTGGGCTGGGGGACCGTTGGCCTGGTTCTCCCGCGTTATCGCTCCCTGGCGGTAGCAAGCTTCCCGGCACGGCTTTCTGCTGTTCTTCCTTGGGGCGGGGTACAGCTTTCCCCTGGACATGCGGTCTGGGGTCCTTTGTGCTTTGGGGGGTCACAGGGTGTCCTGGCTTCTGGGGGTGGGGGTCTCTGCGCGGGTTGATCCAATTGCGGATGGTGAGGCCGCGGTGGGATTGTGGGGCGATTGTCGATGCATCTTGATGCATTATACTTTTTCCCTGGGCAGGGTCTCTGGATGGCTGCTGGGCGTTTAGTTTGTGCATTGGGGTCCGGGGGAGGCATCTCCTCGTTGGCTTGGAGGGACCTGTTTGCGTTCCTGTTTTGCTTCGTTGGCCTCGGATCCGTGCTTGCCCATTTCTCTGTCAGCCAGTTGTTGGACCCCTCTGGATACTGAGGTATATAGTTAGTTTTCGGGATGTGCAGTGTGGGTGCGGGGCAGGGCTGTGCTCCGGGTTGTTCTGGGATTGTGCCTGGAGTTCTCGGCCCTTGATGGGTGGGTGGGTTGTTGGTGGCATGCAGCTGAGCTAGTTGATTTTGCCTCGTTGCTGGTTTGGCTGGTGTTGCATGGCGGCCGGGGGGCGCGCTGGGCATGGGGGATGTCGGCTGGCGCCGGCGGCCTTAGTTTTTTCCGGCGGTTGGGGGGACGGTGGGCTTTTATTGGCGGGTGCATGGTGACCTGTGCGGCGCGTTTGCTGCCGGGCCGGGACTTGCTGCTGGTGTTTCTCTCCGCTGGCTTTCGCTGTCGTGTTGTTCCGTTTGCTCTCTCTCATTTGCCCGACCTCGCACGCAGGATTCGCGGGGGGCTGCTGGGCATGGGTGTCGCCGTGCTCGCGCAGTTGGGCTCGTCACTTGTGCATTGGTGTTGATGATTGCGTGGCATTTGGGCATTGTGGTTGTTTGCTGCGCGGCGGTGGGGTGCTGGATGGAGGGGGCCACTGGTCTATGTTGTGTCCGCGCCGCGGTCGGTCCGGGCGCTGCTCTTCCTATTTTGCGTTCCGTCGGCATTACGTTGTCAACTGGCATTTGGGTCGGGGTCTTCTTCATCGCGGTGCATCTGGGAGTCTTTGTTTTTTTTTGATTTGATTTATTCTTTTTCTTTCTTCCACCCCTATTGGCTGCTGGGGTTCTTGCCTGCCTGTTATAGTCGTGGCGTCCCACTCTCACTAACAACTACATTCTTTAACAGGCTTATGCGCACACACATGTACACACACACACATACAGACACATTCACCCACACGCACACAGACACACACAGACACACACAGACACACACAGACACAAACAAACTTAGGTTGTCCCTGGTAGAACTATTCCTGATGCCTTTCTTTCAGTTACTTATTTAAATTAATTATTATTCCAGCTCTCGTGGCTGTGTTGTGTTGCTTATTTAGTGTGTGTGACTGTTTCTTGTTTTCATTGTTCTCTTAGTTGTCTTAATATGTCATTAATATGTCAGCTGTTTATTGCTGCTGTTCGGCTGGTTGTCTTTTACTATTATTATTATTTTTATTGTTTTTTTTGTTTGTGTTTGTTTGTTGTTGTTTTTCTCCTCCCCAAGCCCCCCTCTCTGTTCTATTGCAGGTTTCGTTGCCTTCTGCAATTGGTGTTTCCCACAGCTTTTCCCTGTTGTCCCCACCCTCCATCCCCCTTTCCCCCTTCTCTTGCAGGTGTTGTCCTTTCTCTGTGCTGTCTGTTTGTGCCCCCCCATCCCCGTGTCTGCCCCCCTGTCCGGCCCGGTGACAAATCAATACATAATTAAATAAATAATAAAACAGACAAAGGAGTATTTTAATACTCTCTTGTTAAAGTAAAATCTGTCTGGCACAATATGGTATCCAGGTCATTATACTCTATACCAGGCTGCTGGGCAGGACAGGTTTAAAAAAAAAAAAAAAAAAAAAAAAAAAAAAAAAAAAAAAAGAAAAAAAGAAAAAAAAAGAAACTGTAAGTAAATGATTGAATAAATTGATCAAAAGATGCCACTAAGTGAAAAGTTAAGGGATACCCAAAGTTATTCAAATGTTAATCCTCTAGGCACCATGGGTATCTATACCAAATTTTTATAGCAATCCATCCTAAAGTTGTTGAGATATTTCAGTTTGAACCAAAGTGGTGTACTAACCAACTGAGAGACAGAAAACAGACATTTAGTCAGGCTTTGTGATAAATTGAGCGTCTGTATATTGTCAAATACAGTCGCCTCCAAAATTATTGCAAATTCCTTTGGTTTTGTTTGTCATTTGGGTTTAAGATCAAAAGATGAGTATGAGTCAAGAGTTCAGAATTTCAGCTTTTATTTCCTGGTATTCACATCTAGATGTGTTAAACAACTTAGGACATATCACCGTTTGTATTAGATCACAGCATTAAGATCTGCTGTGATCTAACGAAAGTATGGGAACATGTGACTGACAGATGTTTTTTGTTGCTGAGATGTTGCCTTTTAGGTTGATTGTCCAAACATTAAATAGCTCTGCATGACTAGTCTAAGTTTTCATCCTTGGTTCAAACCTATTAAGACTGCATTTGTTGCGGTGGCAGCCCGGCTGTTGGTGAGTGAGTGTGAGTTTTTCCTTTTCCTCCTTCGCATCCTGGTTTCTCCTGTGTCTCCTCTCTCTCCCTCTGTGTGCTCTCTCCCTCTCCGCCCCGGAGCCCGGCTGGTTATCCACACCTGCGTCTCATCAACCTCCATCTCCGACCGCCGCACCTGCCAGCTATCAGCCTCATCTCGACCAGTATTTCTACCCCGCCTCTCCGCTCCATCCTCGCTTGATCGTCGTAGCTCCAGACTTGGTGCCACAGCCTCACTCAAGCTTTTAATGAACCTTTTCGTCTCCTGTCACCCTGTACTAACCCTGTCTGTCTGTTTCCTCCCGCCAGGGCCACTCACCTCTGCCTCCCCGTTCGGCCAGCCGGGCTCGCCTACCTGCCTCCCTCGCTCCCCGCCGGACCGCCAGCCACTGCATTCTTCCCTCCTCGGCCTCCAGCCCCCCTCGGCCCTCTCGCCTGAACCCCTCCTGCTCCGCCAGCTCCTCGGTCCCCCACGCCCATGTCTGCCGGTGCCCATCTTCCCCCCTTTCTCCAGCCCCTCTTCATCCCCTTTTTCCCCTCAATAATCCTCTTTAGAAACCTGAAGCGTTGCGTTTGGGTCCGTTCTGTCCATAACCATCACAGCATTTCCTGTTAAAGAGGCTAAACCAACATGAAGACCAGAGAGCTGTCTATGGGAGAAAACCTCACTGTCAAGCTGAGAAAAGAAGGAAAATCGACCAGGGCCATTGGACAAACATTGGGCAGAGCAAGCACAATAATTTGGAATGTCCTGAAAAAGAAAAACTACTGGTGTACTGAGCAACAGACGTCGAACAGGTTGGTTTGAACCAAGGATGAAAACGTAGACTAGTCATGCAGAGCTATTTAATGTTTTGACAATCAACCTAAAAGGCAACACCTGGGCAACAAGAAACATCTGTCAAGTCACATGTTCCAATAGTTTTGCTCACTTGAAAAATGGGTGGGTTCAAACAACGGGTGGTATGTCCTGAGTTTAACAAATCTAGATGTGAATACCACGAAACGAGAGCTGAAATTCTGAACTCTTGTCTCATACTGATCTTTTGATCTTAAACACAAATGTCTTCAGTGAACAACAAAAACAAAGGAATCTGCCTTACCATTCCAATACTTTTGGAGGGGACTGTATAAAATATTGTATATAAATAAGATATGTAAATAAAATATATTGTCAGTGTTTTACTAACCTTGACGAGGCAGGAGTTGGTCACCACCTGTTTGGGGTCCACTACGTCCACTAGTGGTTCCTTCATGGCCACATTACGGATACAGGTCATGTCAAAGCCATACACATTCTCCCACCCTGATAAACACAGCATCATTGAGTTACTTTGACACCATGTTTTCTGTTAGTCTTTGTAAATTGCAAACACATGACAGGACTTCTTTCCAAGTTTCTATTCCATTTTCTAGGGTGGGAAAAGCCAAAGGACATGTAAACAGTTGGTGTGCAGCTGTAAAACAATACAAGTCGGGGTCTTACTCACAGAGTTTCTCAGAATGATATATGACCTGGAGTTAGACCTCCTGTCAAATACAATACAATTTTCATTTTGACGGATGAAAGTCACATAGTAATCGGGGATGATTTGTAAACATGAGCCTCCTTGAATGCAGCCTCCACTCCTGCCTTGGAAATCCTTGCTGCTGTTACTAAATCATTCCATACATTATTTATTAAGCTCCTTAAGATAGTGTGTTAGCAAACATCTCTTTCATGACCCAAAAAGAGAGAGCTACTTGGGTGTGCGTCAGAGAGCTGGTGATAATGAACAGGTCACAAACTCCCAGGGACTTTGTAATGTAGTGTATTTGCATTTCTTGCTGGCTACTTGTAAAGTCAGTGTGCAGCATAGAGTAGCGCTAATGACTACAGGATGCTCTTAGAGTACTGAAGTGCTTCATAAGGTCACTTCTAACTCAGTCTAAAGGTCGTCTTGGGCCCTCTGCCTGGAGAGAAATATGTGGTGGTCAATATGTGCACTTGTCTCACCACTCGTCTCAGTCTGACTATATGGAAACTTTACAAATGCAGAATAATGGCAGACTGAATTGAAGTATCCAGATACCATAGGAAAGCTTTGCAATGCTGTCAGCCAGTGCGATATGACTTTCTTGGTGCATTGGTGTGGTTGTATTATTTCCCAGATGTATGGGGGAGTGTGAGTAGGAGGTGTGCTGTCTATTGTTCTGTTTGTTGTCATCTGGGGTGTGCACTGGCCTAACACTGAGTTTGGTGCTGCTTTGTGTCCAGCATCAAAACATCGCCCACAGTCCTCCTGGCAGGTTTAGAGTGGGATGATACAGAGATGGAGAGGCTTGTTGACTTATAATATCAATTATCGCCCCCAGTGTTGCGCCTGTGGAAAAGTTCAAAATCGTTTGCAGAGCTGGAAAAGGTTGTGTATGAGCCCACAATTTTGTGAGCACGACATCGAGGTGTGTGTTCATTTGCAATGTAGAGACATAATCCTGGTTATAGCCACCAGAGAGCTACACAGAATACACCAGGTACAGTTCCATTTCACAGTCCAGGTTAGTAAGGGTGCGAATTATACCATGACAACCGCGGGGGTGGCGGGGGGTCTAATTTTTTTCCAGGTCAAAAAGAAAACCTAGTACAGAGCAGGCGTCGGCTTTAGAAAACTAAAATCTTACAATGCTTAATATCCTTGCTTATATAACTAATGTGTGCAGTCTGTAGATGATGATAAATCTAATTCATTACACCAGTTAATGGTTGCCCCATACCACATGGCAACATTTGTAGTCAGAGCACTATTCTACTCAAAACTGTACACACAACAGTAGACCATCAGGACCGCTCAAAACAGGCCCACACAATGTTGACTCTATCATAAAATACTGTCTGCATTATCATATCTAATTCCTAATTCTTATCATTTCAAGTTTTAAGTTTCAAATTGTTTTTGCGAATATTTCCTTTGCTCTTGCTCATGTTGACTGTGAATGCAATCTAATCTGCGTTCATACAGTTTTGGGGAATTGGGAATTTTTGAGCCTCTGTAAATAATGTTAAACAGTACTGTACTGAGTCCTGTCTAGACCTGCTTTATATAAAAAGTGCAATGAGATGCCTTTTGTTATGAATTTGCGCTACTTAAATATAACTGAATATCTTTGAAATAACAAACATGGATTTTAACATTTACCTAGTCAGGTAAAACTCCTGAATTCCACAATGAAAAAAAATATCATGCATCTTGTAGAAAGACGCGCAAAATACTACTTTATAAATGAAATAATAAACTCTATATTTATGTCAAGATGTGTAGGAATAACCAATCCTCATTTTCAAAGCTAATGCCAAGCACCAGTGTTGGCTAATAAAATAAAATATGAAATGATATAATGGTAATGAAATGAAAGGGTGGGCTATCAGCTAGCTAACACCACATAGCTCATTTTAAGTCTTAAACTCTGAAGGTAAGTTAAGTGTATTAAAGAAGCTAGATAGCTAACTACTGACATTATAACTTACAGAGTTTCCACTGGCATGTGGTGGACTAGACTGGATCAGCTGCTCTGCGAGTGATTTGGGCAAAGACGTTCAACGTCAAGGTTAGGTTAGGCATAATATTGGGAAAAATATTGTAATATTTAGAATGACAGGTAAGAAACACCCCCCTGAACTGCTGATGGGGTTCAAGCCTTAATTAGGGGGTCAAACCCCCTAATCCACCCCGTAATTCGAGCCATCCAGGTTCAGGTAATACACACATCCAGCCTGTATTTACATACAGTCTACGATCCAGCCCCACATACGTACACACTCTCACGCTGAACTTACAATGCACTTTGAAGTCTTTGTACTGCCTGTCCTCTATGGCCACCACATACAGAGAGGCCCGGTCAGGAAACATTAATCCACCGGGTTTCTGTTTGACAAACGAGGCAAGGAAATAACTCAGCAATTAATCCTGAACACATTATAAAAAGTCTACATTATAGAGTTGGTGACATTTCATTCCTCAGCCATTGTTTCAGTAGAGCTGCTCTTGAAGTATTAAACTACAGGACTATAACTATTATTTAGAAAAGATAATAATATGAGGTAGTAGTTAATAATGTAACAATCCTCTTAACTTTATTGACTTCTTATGAATATAATAAAATTTCCAATAAAGTTACCTTATCCCTGGTTTTAGCTGTAGCATCATAGCTAAACTATTATTTTAAAGGAGTGGTTTCCAACCTGGGGTTTGGGACCCCCATTAGGGGTTGCAAGATAATTTTGAGGGGTCCTGAGATGGATGAAATGAAAACCAAAGTCTGCCACAAATCCACAAAAATCCCAAATCATTGTAAAATGGAAAATTCTGGTATAGCCTATTTGAACTTGATGTATTTCCCATAAATGTGGCCATTCGGACTCTAAGGGTCACACAAATGCACACGAATGTTTGAGTTAGAATCTCTTAATTAGGACTTAATACCTCAGAACTCAAAATCTATCTCAATAATGGCAAAACCACTTAATAATAATAAGAACAAAAATGTTTCTTTATGTGGCAGTAATGGGCTTCAATATATAATTACACAAATTAGAAAACAACATATTTATGCTACATAAGTTTTTTCAGACCTTGATACAGTTTCCTTTTTTTTTTTTCATGGTTATTACAGTGATGGTTTATTTTGAATATTTGATACTGCTATTATTGCAGTATAAACCTACATACAATATCATCTCTATATGCACATCAACGCGCACACACACACACACTCTCTCTCTCTCCACACATCATACCAGCCACTTGTCCCTCGCAAAGATGACGGTGTTGAGCATGGATTCATAGAAGAGGCAGTAGCCCATCCACTCAGATATTATGATGTCAACCTTCTCAACAGGAAGCTCCACCTCCTCTACCTTGCCTTTGAAGATGGTGATCACTGCAACACACAACATATATATTTTAAGTCATAACCAATGCTCAAGAAAGTGTCTTTACTAACACAAAAATGTAGGAATGATAATGCCTAAAATGTGCATGACATGTTGAAAAGCAGATTTCATTTCACATCAATACAGCAATGACACACATATAATATGTGACAAAAAGGACATGTCTTATAAGATATTATATAATATACAGTATTTTGATGGAATACATCCAAATCTTTTAAGGTTCAACTGTAGAACTGTCTTTTGCCATTTTATAAAGTATCGCAATACAATGGAAAAGAATAAAGACTTAACTATCTGATAAGGTCCTAAATAAGGTGATAAACCACTGGAAACAAAGAGGTACTGTATTACATCACCATGTGGAAGAAAGAAACTGGTGTGAACATTTGAAAGTAAGAAACTCTGAGTGGTGACACATCAGTTATGTGCTTCCATGGCAGCCATGGTGATCTTATAGAAATCAGCCCAGCTGGATGGGATCTTTGCCCTGTTGGAGATTAGCTGACTTCAGCTTTGTTTGTTCCGCCTTGGCAAGACGTTATTGAAGAGTTTCCCTGGTGACACAAGTGTCTGTCAGAATGACATGTGAACTGTTACTCCAGCTGGTGATTGCTCCCTGTTTATTCACAGTCTAAAACTCAGAGTGAACACAGAGTTAACTCTCTTTTCAATTACTTGTGCATACTTGATATTCATAGGTTTATGGCTACGACATTGCCTGACAGGGTGGTTTATGGAGCTATTATTAGATGCACAGTCAGTAGTTTGCAGTAAATGTGTTTTCAAAGTTACAGATGATGAAAGGCATATGCTTTGAAGTTACATAAGTTGGAAGCATGTGCGCACAGGTGAATACAAATGAGCCAGTCGAGTGCAGAATGGAATGATAAACAGAATGGATGTGGATCAGAATTAGACCATTCTCACAGATGAACAATCATTCAAAATTTGAGCGGTGGGATACCCATGACCACTACACTTCTTCTTCTACTTACGCATACTTTCCAGCCTTCCCTCCCTCCTCTTCATTCTCTATGCCTATCGCAGCTATAACCTAGTTTTTAAGAAGTGCAGTGGCATAAGAATGGAGAGAGGAGAGGCAGCTGCAGCTCTTACCACTGTCGAGGTGGTTGGACTTGATGATCCTCTCCGAGTACTCTGATATACTGGAACATTCAATCTGGCAGAAAAAAAAGACAAAAATATGCATACTGCAAATTCAACTGCAAAGACGAGACAAAAAATAACTGTCCATCTTTGAGCAAAAATAAACTCTCCGCGCATTGGAACAGAAGAGTTCTTCAACTTTACTGTATCAGGCCCAATCAGTATTTGTTGACCAAGGAGATTTCAAGAACATCCCGTTCTGACACAAATGATGTTATTCCTTTTAGTGCCCCTTCTATTAAGGGCACTCATTTATAACGATTAAATCTCAACATTTTAAGTCTATCCATGTTTTTTGTTACATTACGTGTCTCTAATTAAGAAGCATTCTGACACTTTATGTAAAAGTACTAATAGAGCAATGTTGAAATACTCCGTAACAAGTAAAAGTCTTGCATGAGAAATTGTACTGAAGTTAAAGTACAAAGGTATTTGCAGCAACATGTACTTGTCTCACAGTAAAAGTACTTGTTTCCTCCCTGTAACATTATTCACATGTTAACACTGATGTATCAGTGTGTAATGTAAGTAGTGTAATTACTGTTGGTCAAGGTTTTGCAAGTTTTAACTTCTTTATGTACAGCTACGCAGTTTAGTGGTTGAGTGGTTCCTGACCTATGGGTTGAACCCCTTCCAAAGGGTCACAAGAGCAATCTAGTGGTGGACTGGACTGGATCAGCTGCTCTGCGAGTGATTTGGGCAGAGACGTTCAACGTCAAGGTTAGGAAATGGTATGGTCCATTTTAGGGGTGTCTGAAATCGTATTTCAAGATTCTTGAATATAAGGCATAATATTGGGAAAAATAGTGTAATATTTTATATATATATACAGGTAAGAAAGACCCCCCTGAACTGTTGATGGGGATCAAGCCTTAATTAGGGGGGCTTGATGAGGAAAAGAAGAAAAAACAAAAGTACATAGTGTAAATAAGACCATGCAAGCAGTTACGAGTGGAAATCACTCTTTGTGGACCGGCGTGCAACTCATAGACATCTGAAATGACTCACACTCTCACTACTTCGTTATGAGAAGTCAAAGGCCAAAGAGGATCGAGACCACTGGCTTAATCTTGAACAATGTGTTCTATTGCATAGGCTTATTCGTTTTTTTTCTTTATTAATCTGAAAAGTCACTGTAGCTGTCTAGTAGTTGATTAAAAGATCCTACCGACATTTAGCATAAAATGGAAAAACTCAAAATTGTACTTAAGTTTTGTACTTATTTACTTTCCACCACTGCTAAAAACAGAGGCATCCTGTTAGATGCTACCAGGATGCTTTCCTCCCCTAGAAGTTCTGTGGAAGAGTGACAATCATGTACAGTATTTCCCATGTGTGGCCCAGTTCCTTGACTGATTTCGAAGTCCAGAATTCAATCTTTATTTTTGATTTCAGCAAGAATGTCTGTCCAATGCTGCAGACACTTTATTGGGCACTCTCTGTGGATGGTTTCCAATCCAGGCTTGAATAAAACACCATAGGTCCATACCCGGTTAGCAAACCTGAAAGAGTATTTTAGTTGCTTATGACTCAGTGATTTATTTCTTTATATAAAAGACTGCAAAATGGAAAACTGGACAGCTGGATCTTTTTTGTCATTAGCCTTTTTCCTGTCTGCAGCATTTGATAGGAATACGTAGGTTTTTATCACTTACAGTATGTTTGTGACTTTTGAGCCTGACAGCAGCATTTAAATAGCATGGGAGGGATTATCATCTGACATTGTGCACTGACATTAATTTAACATTGCACAAAGTGTCCTGGAGTCAAGCTGAAAATAGTGGCCAATAAAAGAATATTAAGGGATAGAATTTACAAGGTGACCAGCCTCTGTGCCAGTTTCTGAAATGCTGCCAGGGCATCTTACTTCAAGTAATTGACGTGAAGATTAGTCACTGCTCAACTGCAACCAGCCATTTAGCCCTGACAGGATCTTCAACTTTTACTTTCATTACTCTTTTGGCATTTCAAATAATTTTAAATATCCTTACCCCACTGCTTTTGTCTTTATCCCATTTCTCTCCTCCTGAAATATCTGTCACATTTTACTCCATGCCCTCACTTTTCTTTTCTGTCCTCTATTTTTTGGATTCCTGAGCTCCTGGCTTAGCATATTTTGTACACTGAGTGTAGATTTTTCACCAGACACTCTGCTCCACCTACCCGGGGACTCGTTTGTCAGAGGTGTGCAGACTTATTCGTGCCGCAAGAGTTCCATCTGGACGTAACAAAGAAGATGACTCTGGATCGTAAAAAGGCAATGCCAGGCTCAGACCTTTGTAGATAGGGCAAGCTGTGCCTCGAAACAGGGGCTTTTATTTTAGAGGCGGGAACTGATAACACTTGCTCTAAAAGCAACATGCCAACTGTGAAATAGACAAATTATGAGATATCATCTTAGATATTTCTCTTTTTTTGCTTCTGAGGTCTTTAGTTTCCCCGCTGAGCATGTTTACAGGATGCAGCAACATGACATTAGCACTGCCTCCCTGGGGCAGCCCTAACCTCGGCTGCCCATTAGTGGAGGAGCGGTCAGGAAGCTCCTGGTGGTACATGTCACCACTAACAACAATGATGCACCTGCTCATTAAAGCCAGACGTAAACAAACAGTAATGCACCAGGTGCGCGTGCACTTACAGGCGCATGTGTGCTGCTGTTAGTTCGTGATAATAGGTGCTGCCAATGTTTCCTCATCTCTTTCTGAATCTCTGTGAGAAGAGACAGCCATTAGCCATGTGTCCATCAGAGTCATGCTTCAGGGAGAGTACTGGGGCCTCGAGGCATGTTTAGAGTCAACACACCTCACACCGTGCCTCTTGCACCTCTCACTAGTGTCAGGGATAGTCCCTGTCACTGTAGTCGGCCCTGTGGGCTCCCACTAGCGGAGACACAGCAAATACAAGTTTCTAACTTGCCCAGGCATCACGGAACTTCTTCCCTCTGTCTGAGCTCTCAACCTATGAGCCATACAGTAAATTGGAAATGAGACCAGAGCCAAACTGTTAAAAGCACTCAGTGTTATTTTTATTCCACTTCATCCTAATCCTTTTTTATTGCTAGAGGGCAGAAATGCTACAATAAACCCAAGCTTTGATAAATTAGTACGAAACAACTAGCTAACATTTAGCAAATGCCTGCCCAATGTTACATCCAGGAGAAAAAGAGCAGTATGAGCAAGCATCTCCTTGGAGTCCTTCTGCTCCTGTGAATAGTGGGTGTTGCATTCAGTGTAACACCTTCTGGCTCATTTATGGTCTATCAACTACGTTTAATGGAAAGCTAAAACCTGCTCGGCACGTCACTAGACTATATCACTATATCTATTTACATACTGTACAGTACACACACAATTAGTTTGATAAAACTAAACTGGCGTTATCATTAGTTATTATTATTATTATTATTATTATTATTATTATTATTATTATCAAGCTGCTATCATCTCACCTGCATCATCATCTCATCATCATCTTCATCAAAATCTTCCCAAATCTTCCTCTATTTTAAAAAAAAAAACTGTTGGCAGACTGTAGAAGTGAAGTGTCATGATTAGAGAGGATGCAGACACTATAATAAACTCACGGAAATTCTGTGTAATTTGAGAAAAAGTACATCTTCTATAGTCATGTTAAATAACAACACAAAAAGGTTGGATTTGCTACTGTAGGCTCTTTTTTGAGAAAAAAAATCTTAACGTCTTAAAAGTGTCAAAATCTAGTGAGAATATTGTTAAAGTTTGGCTTGCTACATGTACAGTTTTACACAACAAACACTCATTTACTTTGACTCTTTTGTCTTTAGCTTTTACTTGTAATACAGAGAGCTGTATCTAAACTACAAGACCCTTCGACACCCGTGAATAAGACCCAAAATAATTCATAGAGCCCTTGTGGTCCGAGGTTGGATCAGATCTTGCCAATATGTACTGCAAACAAGCACCTGAGCCTGCCCAACACACATGAAACCACCCTTGGTGCCCTTTCCCATGATGATTTGCTTTCGGAGTTGCTTTTGGTGTTTGGACATGATATACTTACACTGCCTCTCTGCGATTTCATGCAGGTAGCATACAATATGTATGTGGGAAGTGAAGTTGACGCTCATGGTTTTATATCAGGGGTTTTTGAGAGCTGGAATGATTTAACCACACCATACACACAAATGATTTAATGTAGCCTACTTGTTGGTGTTTATTTTAAATCCCACATACTGCTCTCCTGTTGGCAACCATTACCCATATTGCTACATGTCAGCAAAGTTTAACGGACACTATCCCTGCAAATAACATTAGCTCTAGCAATCTTTTGCTTTGCTACGGAATTCTTTTAAGTGCATATAAGTCTATGATATTTCCATACTGTTGGACAAAACTATTCATAATAAATAAAAAAACAAAAGATGAACTTCTGGGGCGGCACGGTGGTGCGGTGGTTAGCACTGTCGCCTCACAGCAAGAAGGTCGTGGGTTCTGTGTGGAGTTTGGATGTTCTCCCCGTGTCTGCGTGGGCATTAAAACATGCAGGCTAGGTTGATTGGTTACCCTAAATTGTCCTTAGGTGTGAGTGTGAGCGTGAGTGGTTGTTTGTCTATGTGTGGCCCTGCGATGGACTGGTGACCTGTCCAGGGTGTACCCTGCCTTGCGCCTGATGTCAGCTGGGATTGGCTCCAGCCCCCCCGCAACCCTGTACGCAGGATAAGCGGTTGACGATGGATGGAAGATGAACTTCTGCTTTAATATACATGAGTTTTGTTTTAATTTTAATTATTTATTGATGGGGTAGAAATGTGGGATATTAAATGTGGGCTCATGATTATTTGGCTGTACAGACAGTATAGAAAGCATCGCCAAAGAGTCTGTTATGGGTACTCTGTGGATCCAGAATAGAGGTTATCACTTTCCTTTTTTATGTTATGAGATCCGTATGACAGAGTGGTGTTCTTGTTGGCCCAGAGCCTGGTCCTTCCACCTCACGAGCCCATATTTTACGCAGAGCTTCATAAGCTTTAGGTATGATAAAGGTGCTGGTCTGTGGGGCACAGCTCAAACTAAAAGCATCTCAATCGAAGGTGAACTAAGTCCCTGAAATATTTCTCCCATTCCTATTTATGTGGATAAAGTCCCTGACAGCTGTAACACAAGTGTGAGGTAAAGCACATAGTGAAGTGATATTTCAGTTTTAAGTGCGATGACAGCGATAGTTAAACTGAGTGAGACGGCAGAAGATGGAAGGAAGTCCCATACACACATATACACATAATGTCAACCAGTAGCTCAGAACAAGTCTCTTGGCAATTCCAAGTTAATCATTCCTACCCTCAAGCAAATATATGCTGTCTGGAGCCACCGTACAAAAATAAGTTCCACGTGGTTATCCCAAGCTAATGGTGTGTATCCAGCATGTATTCTCAGACATGCCCTGACTAGCAATTACTTCTGCTCCAGTAGACGATAACAGAAAGAGCTCTGAAATCTTTACGGCACAGCCTGTCAGCCTGCGTGAGAGTCCACGCACTTTCACCTGCCTGTCAGACCAGATATTCCTTGAAGATTATAGGGAGGCCTGGCGAACAAATGGTTAAAATGTATGTACAGATCCACAGAGAAACAGTCATATTTATATAAGTATGCACACAGTGTGAGCAGCTTGTCAGGCTGGGCTCCACAGTGATTAGACCCTGATGGTTCAGCATGATAACGCTCCACTGAAAGGAAACACGTCTTACCCCATACACGTGCTTTGCCCCTGCTTTGGCTGCGAACATGGACAGGATGCCAGTCCCACTTCCAACGTCCAACACTATTTTGTCCTTGAAGATGTGCTTGTTGTGGTACATGGAGTTCCTGTAGGTGAGTGTCCTCACTTCGTCCTTCAGCATCTCCTGGTTTAGCATATGATAAATAAAATCAGGAAAATGTTGACGCAGCTAACGCCTGTGGAGAGTGATAATTTGTTTTGTTGAATTAAAAACATTGGCTGGACAATGGGTGTCTGGATTTGTTGTGATATCTGCAGTGCAGCAGTGACAAATAACAAAGAGCCTTCACCTAATCTTACACTATTACGTCTCAGCCGTATGGTACTACATTTAAATCCATAGTTTGTGTTTCTGAAAAAGCCCCAGGAGCCTGCAGGCACAGCTTGCACAGCTGCATCTAGTTTCTGACTCTGCCTCTCTTGCCGTGTGCATGCATGTTAAAGTGTGAAGATTATTCAGAAATGAAAAAATACACCTGACCTATATTCCAAAAATATTTAAAACATTCATCTCACAGGTCACACAAGGATGTGCACTTTTTACACAGCCACTCTTTCCACTCTTTACATTGCAGCTGAACTGACAGAAAAAAATGCAGAAAGATTCAAATATCATCTTGAATAGTGGAAATATGAGATAAAAAAATAAAATATGTTTAGTAATGGACCAAGACTAAAAAAGTTTCATAGGTTTTGAAATTGAATATCTTAATCAAAATTGCACCAGCCCTCTGCCATTTCAAGTCCAGGCTGTGTGTAGCGCTTAAGAAGTGCATCTGCCCTGAGTTAAGCCTCCCAGCCAGACATTTCTCTCAGGCTGGGTTCAGATCTCATGTCCTTTGATGGGATTGGCTGACCGTAACCCCAACTGTGGTTCTAGCCATCTATGACATATAGCATTTGGTTGCTGTTGTTGGAGCAGTCCAGAGCAGTGGGGATGAGTTACCTGGTAGGCTCAGTTAAGGAAAAATGTCACACACAGTCATCATTAAAGTGCCTTACCAACACACAAAAGAGGAGTCTGAAACAATTATGTCTAAAAGAGAAAAAAGAAGAAAAGGAAAAACATCAGCAGACCAACATCAGCAGAAAACAAATGTAACTATTAAAGCCAATTCCTTGTATCTGTGTGACCATGTGGGTCTGAGTCACGTAAATTTTGTCATCTGCTCACGTCTGTGAGGGTTCACACGCGGCCCAGAATTTGCCACCATGTGGACTGTCTGCACTACAAGCGGCCAACTGTGCATGCACTGGAAAATAATGGTAAAGAAAGAAAAAAACAGGAGGCTTGTTTTGTGCACTATATTCCCCGGGCTTGCTCCTATTCATTTTGAGCTGTTGCACAAAGTTGGAATTCTCTGCGGATTTTGTTTTTTTCAAACCATATTACAACTTGGGACTGAGCAAAGCAACTGTATTAGAGGTGAATGGAGAAACCACACCACAGACCAAACAGGAAGTGTCTTAGATATCTATATCATCAATGCCACTTACTGTATAGGAAAGTGAAATGGCAAACAAAACTGTCCATTTAATCTTTTCAATTTTCTATTGCATCTCCAAACACACTTGTTTACACCTAGTTTTGCAGAGAGATGGAGGGCATTTTACTCCAACATCAACAGCAACATCTTGTGCAATGTGAAAAATACATTGAGAGCATTATTATTTGTCATATCAGAATTTTATTTGTGAATTTACACTGTTGTAAAGATTTGCAGTTGGATGTGAAACTATATGATTATCATTATCAGATGAAAAATTTGTGTTTGAAGGAAGATGCAGGAGCCTATGCCTGTCCTGGAGCTTCTATAAAAGATGTGGTGGAAAACATAGTTCCTGAGATTCCCGACTACTTGGTCAAAAACAGTCATCATGCATGATTCACATCTGTCTACTTATCCACAGACAAGAACAGACGTAGGAATAAGAAACCAGAAAAATTTATTTTTCAGTGATTCTCACTGTGATAGGTTATACAGATGTACCTCATGTATGCCAAAGTGGGCATAAGAGTCAAAGTAGTAGTCTCGCGAGGTCATTTCCTCCGGGCTAAGGAACTTGGCCATCTTGCCCCGCCCAGGACAGCTAGGGAGGCTGGCAGCATGGGGCGTGTGTGGCGGGAGAGCAGGCCGTGGGGCGTGCTGGATGGAAGGCACAGGCTTGGGTAACGCGGTGGGCTGTGCCGACTGGGATGGAATTATGCGGATTGGCCGTGGCTGTGACTGCGGTTGCTAGAAAGAGAGAGGTAAAGAAGAAAAACACTTCATTAAAGCAGAGGACTCTGGGCTTTCAAAGTCAAATGCCTTTTGGAGTGAAAAACAAAACAAGGACGTAAGAGCAGTTTGGCATTGACAGTATCACATGGTTTGCATTCATGGACAGGGATTGACTTAACAATTTCATCTGCTCTCATGCCTCTCCGCTCATCTGTCAGTCTGCTCCTCCATGAAGGAGGCTGGTGAGTTCAGAGAGTCCAGAGAGTTCACTGAGTCGAGAGGATACTCTGATTACTCACATGAAGTCAGCCTGTCTGTCTACAGAAGGCAGCGATGGCAAGAAAGCTCTGCTCTGCACGTACACCCGTAATGCCCTGATTATCACCTCTTAGGCCAGCTGGGAAGATCTAGCTATGGTGTGTGTGAGTGTGCGTGTTGGATTGTGAATGAGAAAGAGAGAGATAGAGAGAGATGGAGAAACAGACTCCCAGCACCTCGGTTTTAAGCCAATAAGCCATACTGGTGTTTATTCTCATTCCAACTTTTAGGCTTCTAAAAATAAATGATAAATAAATGGCAAGGTGGACAAAATAGATTGTGTTTGCTCTCTCATTGTAGGTATAAAGTATTTTCCACCACTGTTATAATCTGTTAAACATGCTGTTGCCAGACTTAAACCATTCCTTGCATGTTTTAATGTTGCTACTGTATCTTTCAGAACATCAACTGAGGCAATGCAGCTTTTCAAAAGGCAGTTTTCTATCTTCATGGCTGTGGCAACGGAGACTTGCCCACCATAGAATGAGATTACAATAACCAGCAGAAGTCCAACTCCACAACAGTAATTGCAGGTAGTTTCATATAATTGGCCTTATTTAAGTCTTTCTGAAAAAAAGAAATCACTTTAAAGTTTGTCATTTATCCTTTAATCTAATGAGGCTGGCATATAACAGTCAATAAAGAGGATAACTTTGCGAATAGATGGCTTGAATTCTGTTGTGATTTATAGCGCCAGCACATAGATCTATTAGAATTTGTCTGTGGCATTGATTCTTCCTTGTTTGAGTGAGTAATTCTTCTCCTCCTCCGCTTCTTTATTGTCCTCCTACTTGTATCCATCCCTTTAAAGTGGCCATCATATTTATTTTTGTCCTCTCTCTCCCTGCTGGGCTTAAATGCCACAGACATAGGGACAGAGTGACCAAGAACATTATGTGGGAAATAACTGGTCAGGTCACCACATGGTGCATTCACACTGAAGCTGACCTGTGGTCTGTCACATATCAGGTGTTCACTAATAAGGTCCTGTAGAAGCATTTTAGCCATGCTGCATGGCAATGTCTGTTGGATAGTCATGATATTTTGTGCCAGCCTACTCTAGCGCCATCATGAAAACACTAAAATGCTCTGGAATTACCTAGCATAGCAATTGCTAAGTGATAATAATTGGAGAGATGCCTGGTCTTCAGTGGGTTTGACATTGATTGCTACAAATTATATTAATGATAAAACATCTCAACAATTATATTTGAAAAAGAAATAAAAATGCTGAGTTAATGTTTGATTTTTAGAATCCAACCCAAATAACATACAACTGATGTACCAGTATTTCATTAAACATTACAGGAACATTGCAGGCATTGATGTCCCTACTTGGTAAAGTTTACAGAGATTTTGTGAGTGTTTGTTATATAAAAGATCACATGCATTGCGAGGGACTTGTAATTAAAATGGAAAGACCAACTGTTGAACTTCTCTTAATCCCTTAAACCATGATGTTGATGTGAGGAGGAAGCACTTCAGTACAGTGCGGCATATTAACCCACTATTTCTGTTACAGATATTCTCACAACCTGTTAATCATTTGGACCATCAAGGAGACTTAAGTGTAACTGCCTGAAGATGTGTTTTAATTGATGTATTACCTTACTTTTAGAATGTGCAGTTATGCTAGAAAGCCTAGAAATGACAAACAAATGTTTCCACTGACCTAAAGTAACACTAAGCTCAGTTATCAAATATGTACAATCCCTGGTGTAAAGACAGCAGATGAAATCTTGGCATCCTTAAATAAAGTAATTACAAGACAGGCTGATGAATTTGATACAGAATCGATGAGGATTTTCTGAAAGTTGCAATACTGAAAAACAAAAATCACTTCTGGCTGTCATTAATGGATATATAAAAGTAGACTTGGGGTGTGTTATGGTCAGAGGGGAGCAGCTGCAGTGAGGGTAAGTGAGATGCCCTGACACACGAAAGAGAGGGTGGCACACGTCCTTGCCTCTGACCCTCCAGACAGATAAACACATTTGGGGTTCTATTTCAGATGGGATCCTCATCTCCACATGGAAGTGAGAACTGTTATATGAGAAGGACGTTCAATTGGTGCTTATGTTACACAGCCTGTATGAGGGAGCACGCAGTCATATTGTACCTGTTTGACCGTTAGAGGTGTTTACAGGCTTACTGTTGCTCCTGGAGTCATAATGTTAGTAGGTGGATTTGTAGGGTAAACTCTGAAGGGAAATGAGTGTTTCAATGCATATCTGGGGAAAAAAAGTACCAGATAGATGACTTAAAGGCCATGATGGTCTCCTGTAGAGAGGTTTTCTAAATCATAATTTTATGGGGAAAATAGTCAGGAAAGAGAATTACTTTGGTCTTCTGCCATTAGGGCATTTAGGCGCCTCTGAGAATACAAATGTTCCAAAACAGCAGAGCAGCGGAAGGCAAAGCTTCATCCATCCAGTCAGTGTCTTCTTATCATAATGTATCAGGCGCATGCTGCCCTCAGACGTGAGCGCATTGATAAAATGTTGAGAATTTGAGGAGGGGCTTCTCCCACGAATAAAGTTGCTTTGTGGGAACTTTATTTGATGAATAATGTTTAACGAAGCATCACGAGGCATTCTCCAACTCCACAGGGTGTTTAGATCTTATGAACATCACTTGCAGATAAATCACCGCTGCTCCTCCAGTATTCAGTCGCACTGTGAATACAGATGTGGCACAGCCACTCAATAAATCATTGGGCCCGTGTTGTTGTTCTGTTGTTCTAAAAAACAAGCCATAGCAGATTAATTCTGCGATGAAATATGCTGAGCCAAAAATACAGACGCATCACGTCTTCTGCTCAAAACTGCTCCGCAAGTCTCAGCGTTCTCCGTTGGTGCGTTTCTGCGAGGTGCTGCAGTACCTTGGACAGCGCAAGTCATTTCGATCTCAGCGCAGCGGGAAGCAGCAGCACACTCTGCCCCGTTTAACTTCACCGTGCTCACAGTATTAAACGTGGTTGTTTTGATAAAAATAAGATATTCAAATGTATTTAGACTTTTAAGACATTGTCTGAGGGATCCCTGTCCGGGAACGGGTGGGCAACTGTTTATGGTGTTAGGGGGAGGGAGACAACAGAGGCTTCTTGAAACATTCTGGCACTGTCTTGTCCTCTTGTAAAATAAAAGTGAAATCATACTGATAACACCCTGGAGAACATCCTAACCTTGGGATCTACCGGTTAAAAAATGAAACCAGGAAGACGATGCATTCTTTTTTTCAAGTGTAGCCTACTCGATGGAATTACTAAATTGCCTGGCTGCCTGCTCTGCACAAAACGCCTGTTTTGTCGGGGGGGTGGGGGGGACATCCCTGTGCACAGATGGAGCCCATCAATCAGACTGCTGTTTCACTATCAGGACAGCCAGCATCCTGCCCTTTCTCTTCTGCAACTTCTACTAAAGGTAGGGCACATGCTTTCAGGACGCATTGAGGACTAGGACAGAGTAGGAAAAAACATGAGCACTCTCACTGTAGTTTGGAAAATCAAAGGTGTCTCTCACACTTACCTCACTGCTCTCAGACTCCGCCATTTTTCTCCTGAGGAGCATGCAGCGGGACGAGTGCTTAATTCCCATAAGAGCCAACAAAAAAAAAACGTGCTCACAATTGATAGAAGTAAAGAAGGTGAGGAAACAGCGTCCGCCTCCCGGGGTTTAAGGCTCCTTAGCTCTTTGTCATTGAGTAATTCTCATTCACATCCCAAACTGCAGTGTTCTTTAGACATTCTAAGGCTCTGAAAAGACACAAAAGTACACGAGGTCCCAAAAGCATTGCAGCCACTATTGCCAAAAAGTGTGCTGGATTCCATGGTGCAAAAGTTTGCAGTCCACCGGTGTGCTTTCCTGGAGAGCATGAGAGGAAAAGGCATCATTTGGCATCAGCTGAGACAAGATAGAAAAAAAATGCAACGTCCTATCCCATGACCCGGCAAATAGCGCAAGAAGTAATCTCAGAGGATTGCAGCACTAAAAGCAGCAGATTGTCATGAATGCACTATTTTAGCCCCACTTTGACTGATTCCCCTACAGCAACGTTGTTTCTAAAAATAGCATCGCGCTTCTGTGCTGCCTCGCCGAGTGGAAAGACTTGCAGCTGAGTACATGCACAGAAATCTGATGACTCTTGAAACGTGCCCAGACACTTTATTATTAACACACGCCACCACCATTAATGCCTCCCTCCCCTGCTCATCATCTTCTCTGGAATCAAGCTCTTTGCTCATGTAGGACTATTCGCTCTCCATCCTCGTCAAAGTGCTGAACGCCGGCTGGCAAGGGAAAGTTTAAGTTGGTTCACTCCCTGTTGAAAAGCGAGGACGCTGTGTGCCCGGGTTGCAAACACACACATACACACATACAGAGAGAGAGAGAGAGAGAGAGAGAGAGAGAGAGAGAGAGAGAGAGGAAGTGACCACTGCTGCCTCACTGGCCAGAGGGGCAATGTCAGAGCTGGCTGCTGTTTGCACGCCTGTTATATGCTTCACCTGCTCTGCTCACTCCAGGGATGAAGCAGGACAACCTCAACACACACATATCAACACTCATACACCCCTTACCTTGATGTCTCTTTGTCCACTCAGTTATATACCTCTCTAATAAAAATCACACTCTCCTTGAAGTCTACTGTAAAATGCTGTTAGTGCTGTCACAGCATCATTTTGTTATTTTTACAACTACATTTTTTTAATTTGATCTTTAACCCGGATGATCTCTTGAGAATATCTTATTACAATTATAACACTTATGATTCTGCCCAAACTGCAGGAGATTTGGCTTTGTAACTTCAGAATGCTATTGCTGTCATAACTGTTTCATAACCAAGCGTGCGCTACTTGTGTCTGAGGTCTTCTGCTTTAGCACTGGAGTCTATTTTGAGGAGAGGCCGTTCCTCATACCACCCACACCACTCACCACTTGTTACATTATTCAGCAGAGAGGGTAGGCAGACACTCACCACGCAGTAAGCAGGCATCGGAATAGAAGCCTGCCCAAATTCTCTTTCTGTTGCCCACACCTCGTGCTTTTATACACATACAAGCCTAAATACACCTGTTATACACGGATTCTACAGATTTGCATGGAAACTGCATGCAAGCAAACAAGTCTACAGCCATGCTATAATGGTTGCAATGTTCACCATCTTACTTTGGCATGTTAACATGCTTACATTTGCTAATTAGCACCAAACACAAAGTAAAGCTGATTGATGGGCATGTCATTAGTTTTGCAGGATTTTAGTCATAAATTTTAGTCCTGAATACTGGTGGGGGGGGGGCACGGTAGCTTTGCTTTTATCTTGACAATCTGCAGAGCTGCAGTCTCTAACGTTATTCATTAGCCAGTGTAACTTACACTGTACATTGCCAGCTAAACGGAGGCTTGCCAGTTTTGTGTAGAGTTTTGCGTGCACGCCGTGCGGCTGAAAATATGTCGCGGTTCCTAGCCAGTTTAAAAATGATATTTTTTATTGAGTCGATTTATCGAGTCGAACGTCCCTGACTACTCTGCATAACACCAGCACAGCTGGGGCTCCGTCGCCTCAACAAGAGTTCCTCTTCTGCCACTACACACATATACACATGCGCACTGACCCCCCTTCCTTGAGAGTTAGGGTTACAATTTTGGATTTATTCAAGCACTTTAAAAAACTTTATTAATAGGCAGCATATTAACCTACTTGGAGAAAATCAGATGAGCACCCCCATATCCCAAAATGGCATGATCTTTGTTTCACTGCGAAGCTTTGACTGTGAGATTGACAGTCGAATCAGACTCAGCCCATTGTAGCATCGAATCTTCCACTATACGGGGTCAGCCCTACCAAAGTGATTAGAATTCATCTTCTTGGGGCCTAATTTCATGACAATCTATCCACTAGTTGTGAAGATACTTCTCTCTGAACTATAAATGTTACCCTCATGGTGGCACTAGAGGAAAAGTTAGCGATCACCAAAGCCCGTAGGGTTCATTCTCAGGGGACTATGAGCGTCTGTACAAACTATCATGGCAGTCCTTCCAATAGTTGTTGAGATATTTCAGTCTGGACAAAAGTGGTGGGCTGACAGACATTGCCATCCCCTGAGCCATGTTTTAGCATGAAAAGCCCACAAATTCAGGGTCTTGCCAGAGCATGAGGATCAATATTTCACCACACAGACAATTGATCATGCAGTCAAGCAGATTACCATTATGATGTTCTTTGATCTGAGTCAAATTAGTGACCTGTAATGAGCGGTATCATTTCTGACAATGGCAGTGGATGACTTGGCTTTCTCATTGGGTCGTCACTGCTCTTCAGTCTCACAGTGAGAGGATCAGAATCTGAGATGCACTGAAATCACATCAATTACCTCACTTTTTCCTCCCTCTGATGTGTATATTCTGGTCTTTTATCACTGCACGGCTGATTGCTGCCGAAAATACCTCATCCCTTTTTTTTTCCTAATAAAAGAGCAATGCTCAGATCATTGGTAATAGTACATTGTCCAGAGTTACAATAATTTCTCCTCTCTGATGAAGTGAGGGGATATTCTTTGACTACCTGTCCTGCCACTAAGACCCACTAAGTCCCTGTCAGTTAAAAGAATAGCTGTGTATATGTGGTATCTCCAACAGATCATCTGCGTGTGTGTGTGTGTGGTCAGGTGTTAATTATGTACTTACAGTTTATTATTCAGCTTGGGCAGCTGTAAAAAAGATTAGCTCTCTGGTATTTGCTGCTATGCTTCTTCATTCAGTTCACAGGAAGTCAAATTTAATAAATATTTAATTTGCCCACACCCCCTTTCTCCTGTGCCCTTGTGTGATTATGGTGTAGCTTTTGTTCTTTCCATGTCTGTTTACACAGACTTCACCGTGGGTTCATCTTTAGCAGCTGAGTCATGTAAGTTTCTTGTTAGTTCATTGAGAGTAAAGGAGACTTTTCATACAAGATGTTCTGCATAAGCTTACATTTCTAGCGGAACCAAGGAGGTTTGATAAAGAGAAAGAGAAGACTACTAACTTTTATATACATACCAAATATGCAAAGTTTGACTGGGTGGGTTTTGTTTTGGTTTTCATTCAACCCTAACATCTATTTCCGAGTGCTATTTCTCAGATTCAAAAATAATAAGCACAAGATTATCCATCTAGTGATTAGAGTCCTTACAATGCATAAGCACTACATACATTAACAGAAAGCAAAGTACGTTTCATGCCAGGTTGCATGGAAAGATCTCTGACTTTTCATAAAAGACCAAAATACAATACAATAGAATACAGTATAATTCAAGAGGAATAAACTCAAAGTAATGCTGCGTTCATGTCATATCAGAATTATTGTAAATACTATTTTCCGACTTATTATCCATGTCGTAATTATGATTGTAAAACGGAAGTTCACAAAAAAGTCCATCATTCAAACCAATTAAACACAAATTGTGTATTTTAAAACTCACGTGACTAACTCTGCAATCGTATAAATGTCTTGAGATGTCTCAAGCTGTAAACATGGAAAATGGGTCGGACTATTCATTTTCTATGGAAATCATGGTCATTGAACTGCTGTAACCACAGCCTCTCTCACGGTTTATTTTAGAGGAACATGATCATTCACTGCTGGTTTAAATTATTCAGTAACCATTTCCAAATGTGTCTTTATGACAAATCTGAGGTTTTAGAATAGAAATTAGTTGATTTAATAAGGTATCATTGGTGGAGATGCATGACTTTGCTGATGTATTTCTGTCAGCTTATCTGCCAACGGCATTTCTATGTGACAGTGTCAGGTTTGTGGCCACACTTCAGGCTCACCTGAATTAGTAATGCCAACATCAAAGGGTAGAGCAACAGAAGAATAGCTGTGCCCTTTATTAGCCACTGTTGACCATGACTGTTGTTCATTTATCACTGTCCGTGCAGTGTCATGTGTCTGTGTGGGTCTACAAAGCGGTCAGAATATTTCTTCAGCAGTTGCGGTGGTTTTACGTCTCCATCTGCAGCATGTCACAGCACATTTCTCCTTTCCCACTTCTCATTCACCTCAAAATAATTACATATTCACTGTTTCATACAGACACCTTACCCAACCCCAGACAAAACATCTCTCTTTTCTCTGTGAAGTTCTCTGTATTCTGCAATATTTTACTTATTTTTCCAACCTTTATCAGCTGACATACGGCAGTACCTGATATGTCATCCAATTGTGTTTTATGATACAATATGTTGTTTCTCATGTAAAACACTTACATAGCCTTCATCCAAATTGATGAAATATTTTGTCTATGTTATTTTGAACAGTCTGCTTATAAATAAAGTTGAAACTGCAGAGTGTGAAGTTGTATAGATTTTAAAATTGCTTTCTAACAGTCCCAGTAGCTCATAAAGGAAATGCTGTTTTGAAGTAGACTTGATATGTTTAAAGCAATAAATCAACATTTGGGGAAATACGCTTAATCACTGCTTAATCACTTTTGTTCTATTTTAAGACCTTATGGGGTTATGATGCTGTAAAAAAGTACAAAAAACCTCAGTTGATATTTAGGTTGAGGATGGGAGGTGGTTGTGACATGGGAGTCATAAGCTTAAAGAAATTGTTTGACATTTTAGGATATATGCACATTCATATTTTTGCCAAGTTACATGAGAAGACTGATACCACTCTCATGTCTGTCAGAGCGTTCTCATCTCAAGGCGTCCAATACCGACGCTTTTGGAAAAAGTTTAACTACGTGTTCGCGCACGCAAGATGGTTGCCACGCATATCCTGCGTTCATTTGGAGCATAGGTTGTGCACGTCCCCAGGAATTAACGCTATGCGTCCGCGAGATGCAGTTCAGCACATGAACGTGGGGACAGTATGTCGATCTGACCAGCAGGTCAGCAGCAATCTACTGATCCACACACCAGCCCAGGTGGTTGCAGTATGCAGTTGGCTTGCCAACACAAAAGTTCAGCAGCAAACTTAAAAATGGAGATTTATGGCGGGATGTTTACAATAAAACTCCTGGAGCTAGTCCTCAATTATCGGGATTATGATGATGTCTCATTAAAATCATAACCTCCTCGAGTGACGCTATGTGTGGTTTGTTTACAATGTGCAAATTCGGAGGTTGTCAGATGATCCGGTGTCAGCGAGGGATGATCCTGTTTAATCCTCCTGTTTACGCCTACGCAATGTTGAAAAGCAAGTATTTTGTTGGCTTAAAGGTACCCTTTAGCGTCTGTGGGAGATGCATCCGGGAGTGTCACATGAGAAGCTCTAGGGCGTCTCGTATAGACCAGAAGTGCAAGCTAGCTACATTCGTGTTAAAAGTGTTGCCCCCCAAAGCCCCCTACACTTACCATAACCATCAGAAATT